AAGGAGGGAAGGAGGGAAGGAGGGAAGGAAGTTCTCCCTTTTTTGGCAGCAGCCAGTGCTCAGATCAGCCAAACCACCTGCAGGACTTCACCTGAAGAGTGCCAGAATGAGTTCATCTGAAGCATCTCTGATTTGGGATAGTTGAAAAGTTGTATTTGTTTACTACTATCAAATGCATGACTCAGAGCTGAAACACTATGTTAAAACAGGTAAAGGTCATAACATGCTCGAGTTCTCAAAAAAGATAAATACAGACAGATAATGAAAGTTAACAGTGAACGTACCAGCTTCATTGTCAATTGGGAACTCCCACAGTATTCCTTCTTTTGTCCACTGGATCATCTCCTCAAAACCATTTCGGGGAGGCTGTGCAGTTATGGCTGCAATCTCCTTTGCAAATTCCAGATCCCAAATTGTTGGTGAAGATACTAAGAAAGAAATTTTGTAAAGATCTGTCAACATGCCAAAGTCTTCTCAGTAACTAAAACAAAGTCCTTTAACATTAACCTTTACAGAGACTAATACTTTCAGCTGTGCAAATTCTTCAAACTTAGATGCCAGCATCACCTTTCACAAAAGAGAATTCTCTGTTAAGATGAAAGTCCATTAAATTCTCAAATGTCTGGTGAAAATGTATTCTGAACTCCTAGGGGACAATTTATTTTTAAGCCTTTCACAGAGAGCAAGAATTTAATTTTTCCACGTTTTTTTTTCCCCTTTTGTCTTTCACAAATTGTACATACGACAAACTCTGAGCTTGACTGTTACACTCTGCTACAGGAATCTTGCTTACTACAGAAGCTTTCAGGTACTTCACAACTATACTGTTCTTCAGGGAGACAACTCAATCTACAAACGATGGCAATTCCTTCCCCAACACTCCCAAGTGTCCCAGCTTTTGTCTCATGGGCTTGAGAAATCCTGATTTCCCCTTCTTCTCCAAAAGTCAAACAATCCCTTTAGGGATGCATCTTTCCTGATGCATATAATTTTTTTTTTTTTTTTAATCAAAGTGTACTCATATGGCAGCAGAGTTACTCTTAAGGAGTTCCTGCCCCTCCACCCACGAGAACTGGTCACGAGCCCAGACTGAACGACATTGCTGAAGTGAAGGGAACAAGCTGTTACCACAGGACAGGGAGGAACCACTGGGAGTGCCTTGGGCTGCTGTCTCATGAGCTGGCCTAAGTCGCGCTCTCCTTTGTCTTCTTGTCTCCCCCAGTTATCAATTCACCCTAAGCTCCTTGGAACAGAGATCTGGATGTGAATTCAAATGTTACAGTCCATTTGAAGTGGATCGTGGTCAATCAGCTATTACTTTACTACTCTTAAGTATCTGAAACAGATATAATTTCATCTTTTGTCTTGGTGGCTTACAACTCAACAGGATTTAAAAAAAAAAAAATCACCCCCTTCCTGTAAGAAAAAAAAAATAAAATGAAAGGGCAAACAGTATTTTTACATACCAAAAAGTGCTTTCATTTTTTGTGTTAAATCAGAAGATACTTTTTCAAATAATTTCTTACTTAGCATGGAAATTTCCATAACTATATTCCCTAGCTGCCTACTTTGACTTCAGGGCTGAAGGCAGGAATAAAAGACAGACAAAAGACAACACGAGAAACCATATCAGAACGCAATTATTGTCCACATCTTAAACAATACCTTCTAATAATGTGCTACTAACAAAACTTCTAATAAGAGAGAGCGGAAACTAATTTTTCAAGCTTGCAGTAAAGATGATAAACATTGTGTTTTCACCCCTGTGACAAAGAAATTAATACTAACATTTTATGTTAACAGTTACGAATAATTTTTTCAGGATGCCAATTTACCTTCCAGTTAACATTCAGGTCTTCAAAATAAATATTCAATACATAACATAGAACTTGCTTTACTGTAATGAGTTAAAATATTGTTTATACATTATCTCCACTAATATAAGCCAAGAAGGTGAAAGCAATTGAATCAAAATTGTCAAGTACACGCTTGTATTTCCCAAGATGAACACAAAAAAAATTTTTGTCATCAGGCTCAGTCAGTAAGCCAAGCAATAAGCTTCCTGGCTTACAATATATTGTAGATTTCCTCAGGGCTACCACGAATCAAACAAGGAAACACCACAAAATATGCTGAAAGAAGTTTATTTTTTAATATCCAATCACAAATCCAATAAAGGCCACTTGCTCTCTTACACAATTTGTGCACATTAGAGTTTTGTGTTAAAAAATGTATCTCAGCTTTTTACCTGGGGTGGCTACTATGTGCCGCTGCATCTGCATTGTGCTCATGTAAAAAAGAAAGGCTAAATTCTCAACATCTTACCTGAGTAAATTTGAGTCAACTCAAACACCGGTTACTGAACATTACATTTGTCAAGATAGCTAGAAACAAACGCTGCATCATGCATTATGTATTTATATGCAAAATGGACCGATTTTAAGGAAATTGGCAATCTTAAAAGACAGCAAATTGAATTCCATTCTAATAAGCAACTTTCATAGTCCACCACAGAGGTGGCTACATTCAGAAAGTTCACATTTGTTTGAAAATATGCAAATAGCACTGTCTGACAGTTTACTAAAGAAATTAAATAAACTCATTAATTTCTCCCTGCAGTTTCAAGTGTAAAAAAAAAAGGGAGAGAAAACTACTCAGCTAGAATCTGGCAAAAGCTAATAGACCTACTCTTGAAATGGAAACAAGTACATATCATTTTCTAAGCCATCAGAGAGGAATACTAATTCTCCTGCAGGTGCTTGCTTTGTATATAGTTCTAAGTCACTACACTGGAATAAAGTCTTTTTTTCCAAAGCGCTTCAGAACATCTTAGGTAAACCAGCATATTAAAAGTCAGTGCTAACAATGCACAGTTTCATCGTCCAGAAAGAAAAATGAGAGAGGGAGTTCTTTAAATGACTTGCGCATAATCACACACTCTTAGCCAAAGCCCAGTCTGTAGAAAGTCTTCATGTGTGAAAGCTATCCCCCTTATGTGGCATTAAGACTATTCCTGCACTTCATATTCAGTGAATATGAAGGTGCGTCATACCTGTTTTGCTGTTGTTTTTTTGGTTTTATCTTACATGAGTTTTGGCGTGTATATTTACTGGGTAAAGAACTGGTTGGATGGTCGCATCCAGAGGGTAGTGGTCAATGGCTCTATGTCCAGATGGAGACTGGTGATGAGCAGTGTCCCTCAGGGGTCTGTATTGGGACCAGTACTCTTTAATATCTTCATCAATGACATAGGCAGTGGGATCAAGTGCATCCTCAGCAAGTTTGCAGATGACACCAAGCTGCGTGGTGCAGTTGACATGCCTGAGAGACTGGATGCCATCCAGAGGGACCTGGACAAGCTCGACAAGTGGTCCTGTGTGAACCTCCTGAAGTTCAACAACAGGGTCCTGCAGCTGGGTCGGGGCAATCCCCAGTATCAATACAGGCTGGGGGATGAAGGGATTGAGGGCAGCCCTGCCCAGAAGGACTTGGGGGTACTGGTGGATGAAAAGTTGGACATGAGCCAGCAACATGCGCTTGCAGCCCACAAGGCCAACTGTATCCAAAGACACGTGGCCAGCGGGTCGAGGGCAGGGATTCTGCCCCTCTACTCTGTTCTGGTGAACCCCACCTGGAGTCCTGCGTCCAGCTCTGGAGCCCTCAGCACAGGAAAGACATGGACCCGTTGGAGCAGGTCCAGAGAAGGCCACAAAAATGATCAGAGGGATGGAACACCTCGCCAATGAGGAAAGGCTGAGTTGGGGTTGTTCAGCCTGGAGAAGAGAAGGCTCTGGGGAGACCTTATTGCAGCCTTCAGTACTTCAAGGGGGCTTAGAAGAAAGATGGAGACAGAGTTTTTAGCAGGGCCTGTTGCAATAGGACAAGGGGTAATAGTTTTAAACTGGAAGAGGGTAGATTCAGACTAGATATAACGAAGAAATATTTCACGATGAGGGTGGTGAAAACCTGGCACAGGTTGCCCAGAGAGGTGGTAGATGCCCCATTCCTGGAAACATTCAAGGTCAGGTTAGACACAGCTCTGAGCAACCTGACCTAGTTGAAGATATCCCTGCTCATTGCAGGGGCGTTGGACTAGATGGCCTTTAAAGGTCCCTTCCAACCCAAACTATTCTATGATTCTAATATATGTGAAGAGCTTTACAGTAGGTAAAGCAAGGTGTTGTTTGTCAGCCACTTACAAGGATCTTTCAAGGTACACATATAACACTAAACAAGAGAAGGCCACAAAGCAATCAAATGCATGGTCTTGGTTTTTTTTCTACCCAGCTTATGCTTAGCCACCTGCAGAGCATGCTTGTTTCCCTGGTATCACAGCCTTGTGTTTCTTTGCCATAAAATGAATGCAGCAAGTTTGCAATTTGACTAAATAAGCTATTGGAGCCAACGTATCAATTCTCCAGGCTAGTTTTACAGTCACAGAAGAAAGACTGGCCTTAGTGACAAAAAGCCAGATTTACCCTTCAGGTTCCGTAACAGAATGTCCTGATTAATACAGAAAACATTAATCTATTATACTTCATGGAATTTTGCTTAGTAAAAAACAGAGTTACATTAAAGTATTCATTTCTTTTACAGGTCTGAAAGCAGGACGTTAACAGGTCATAAGTCTCCTTCACAACAGTGAATCTCTTGATATTCTAAAAATTCAGAACTTGGCTTCACTGGGTTTTTCATTATTGAATTTCCACTAACCTGTTTTCAGTGCGTTTTCTGTTTCTGTAGAAGCCTTAGTGAATATATTAAGCCTCCTTCCTACTTTGAGACTTCTATAAACAAAAAAGAAAAACGGTATTTAGTATTTCACAACACTTCACAACATTGCCAGATAACAAATTTAAAAGCACAAAATATTCTCATAAACTAACAGATCTCTGGAGGGTAAAAAAAAAAAGAAAAAAAAAAGAGAAAGTGACTCTCACTAAGTCCTCAGGCTTTTAACCACAGAAAGTGTTTATGACTGCTATTCATCTGTAACAGAGCTCCCCAAAACATTTCCGTGTGAAAGAACAAGCATAAATCAAACATTACATTTGCAGCCATTTTTTACTGAAATATTTAGGAATCTGAACAAAGCTAAACAGTATCAAACCACAGCACTCAAGCAATTTTACAAAGTTGCAACTAAAAAGTGAATCTGGTGATTTGCGTTTTTATCCTGTAAAAAATATTGCACAATTCATGAAGAGAAAAGGCAACAGCTAAATCAAACAATTCCTGCTTTATGACATAAATAGCATTTTTGGAACATTACACAGCCACCTTCTCTGCCATATGGCAAACACTCAAAGTACATCTGTATGATACGTTTTAAATAGTATCACCTTTATGCTCTCTTCTCAACATAGGAATATTTCACTCTGACCATCTATTTTTAATCATGTTTATCTTTAGCATAAGCCTATACTAAAAAAATAAAAAAATCCAAGAGTTAACAACTAATCAAAATAAATTTTCTTATAAATGGAAACAAAGAAAAACCAAGTGCCTTTACTGTAGAACACACTGAACTTAAAAACAAATTATTATTTTAATCAGATAATTTTCCAGGTGTACACTGAAATTCTAAGAGATCCTACTTTATGTTATTACATATTCACCGTTACCCTGGCAATATTTGCCCTTCCTGACCTTAACATTTCACCCCTCTGAGTTTACTGCAGATTTCTGATGGCCACAACTACTTCTGCAAACCTGCTCTTGTCATATTACATTTTACTGATGTAACTACCCTGGATCTAATTCAGCACAGAGTAATCTAATTACAGAGCCTTAAAAGAATGTTGATTTAGGACTATATTTTCCTGTCTGTGTGTAACTCCCAATAAGACTGGCCGAAGATACAACGATAACTTGGAAGAACATTTATCTTTAAATTATTCATTCAAATTAGTATGAAGCAACATCACTCATTCCACTGAGATCTACTAACTCAATTTAAACTTAGATAGTCTTCCTAACTCATTCTTTTCATATTATCAATAGGTAAGTATACCCATTAGATTTTCAGGGATGCAGGAGGAAACTTAGGATTGAAACTGAAGACAGTTTGCACATTAAAGGGATTTTAAAAACTATTTTAAGGTACTGTTCCTGAAGTTATATACCAAATACAGTTTCACCACACAAAGAGGGCAAGACAGCTTCTCAAGATACCATAAATTTAATGTTCTCAAACATAAGTGAAATTCACTTTAATTTGCAGTATGTTAATAAATGAAAAATGTAGCAAAAAACTAAAATAATATACACTGTACAAGCACATAACAGGTCAGGTTTTCAGTTTATACTTCTAGATCTTATTATTTACATTCTTTCAAACTTTAAGGTGTTGGATTAAAAGTTTTTCAAAGTATTTCTTATAGTCAGTCAAGAATCATAGCCTAATAACAAAATTACTTTCATGTGACTACCAACTATATGATAATTATCCCCAGATTAAAAATATCTACAGAGCTATTCAGCAACTGATAATTAAGGCAGTTCTCTTGCTTCTCAAACCAGCAGCTTATAGCTGAATGAAAGTCCCAGGACAGAAACTAGGTCAGAAGGGCTTGGTCTAGAACCTTGTTCCACCTCTTCCTTTCAACTTCCATTACAAGAAGCCCCTCTTACACTTTTTACAAGATCTGCATCAGGAAAACAAAACACTGTTTGCGGACTGTATAACACTGAAGAGGCCCAAGACCCATACTGCCCTAACACACCTTAACAGTTTGGTAGTTCAAGAACAAGCAGTTACTCGGAAAGATTTCAGCACGCAGGCTAAGTTCTTCTTATGACTAGCTATAGCCACTTCTTTGAGGTTTTTGCATGATCTTCATGGCTCAATTCAGGTGTCCCAATTTATTGCTTATGGGAAGTCATAATCCTCTGTTTATGATATACTGAAATAGATGTCTCAGCCTAAGAGGGCAGAATATTGTACAACTACTCAGCGATACATTTATGCTTTTTTCTTAGTTATAAAAGTTCTGTCTTCAGCATCATCTATCCAAACACAAATGGCTCCCTCAACTTCCAGCACTTAACCCCAAGAAAAGGGGATTAATTTGCAAATTAAATTAATGATTAGAGAAGTTATCTTACTAAAAACAGATAAACTAGAGAAAGAACATACTGAGAAGGAATGTGATGATGAGCTGCCATGGGAAAGTCAGGACTGCAGGCAAGAAAGCATAGTTTACAGGATTAAAAAAAATAAAATTTAGAAGTACCACTTAATTCATTAAGAAACAGAGTGGCCACATAAATCAGCAGCAAAATAAATTTAAGGGGTACCCTGAAATCATCACATAAATTATACAGTTCATGTCATAGACAATTACAATGTCACAGACAGTAGAAAAATCAATTACAAAATGACTTATCAGTTGCAACAAGGTGGTAAAAATAAAAAATAAACACTTTTAAATCTCTTTAAAAGCCCAAGAAAATGGATGAAACTTTTCTAAACATACAACTTTATCAAAGCCTCCATTTCCCAAAAAGTTAAGAAAGTGATATAAAATTGTATTATGCACAAGCAAGAATAATTAAAACTAGTTTAAAACCACAATTACACTTCAGCACCACATATTTTTAATTATCTAAAATTCAGTATTTAAAAAGTGCACATTATTTCATTAGTTGGTTAAGTTTAACTAATGGGTTCTCAGAAGTTTATTTCATTGCTAACAGCACTTTTCTTGAAAACTACTTAAATAATTTCTTCAAGCTCTGAAGTATCACTATAACATGAATATGTACGACTAAATTTAAAATATTATCCACTAGTAATTTTTTTGCACATTTCTTCTGTTGGAAGGGAACACAACAAAAATACCTTGTGGAGTCAAAAGACTGAGGTGAGAATCTTTCAGGCTTGGTTCTTTGACCATCTTCATCCAACTCCAAGGAAATGCGATTGGATATCCTCACACTTCTCTGAGCTGGGGACTGCCTTTTAACTGCCATTTCTGAAATAACGTTGCTGAAATAAAAAATATGAATGTAAAAATTCAACAAATCAACAGAGCAAGGAAGTTTGTCACATGTATTAACCAGAAACTCTACTCTCAATTGCTTTCATAAGCATCTATAAGACAGAATTATACATTCATCACAAAATACACCCATATTAAAGTCATTAAACATTCAAGTCTTACTTTTTAAACTACCTCAGTTGTTATACTTTATATAGATTAATGAAAAACACTATTTTAGCCTACTAAATCTAAAAGAAAGTAAAAGAAAAATTTCATACATCTGTATACCAATATTCAGAGCGCGCCAGGTATGTTTTGCTTAAGTAAATGAAGGATTTCTCTGGATACAAAGGAATACGCTGAAATAGGGAGGTAAAAATCATTGTTTTTTTGGACAGGAACCAACACTGCACAGGGACAGAGCTGTGCTGCTGCAGACCAAAAGGAAGCTTGCCTTCACACATCAGCTGACATGGGTCAATCATGCCACCCTAATAAGTAGGTCACCCTTCCTGATCCACTGCAATCTGCTGCATTGCATAATCATATTACAACATTAACAGACCACATCTTTCTTCGTAATTCTGTAGTCAGAATCAAACATGAAGAGCAAACATTCTGATCCCTTCCGGCACTGCATGCAGCTCATTCTGAACACAAAGGGCAAAACACTCTACCTTTCTGCCTCTGCCGATTAGTCCCCTTAACTGGTAAGTCTGTTGGTTGGTAAAGACCAAGCTCATAATTATTCCTCACAGCTATCCTCTCCTCCCAACCGCTTCCAGTAACATGCAGTCATCCAAAATGGCAGCACTCAAGTTTTAAAGAGAAAAATACGGTCTCAAAAAACTAAAATAGGCCAAGTCAAAGATACTGCACAAAAATCTGAATTTATATTTATGAAAATAATGAGTTCAAACTATGCTTTTGTTAGTTTAAGTCAAAAGATTTTATTAACAAGAAAGAAATACTTCTGGAAAACTGTAAAAGCTAATTGCCACAGCAACACAGTAGGATTTTTCTTCGGTCTTAGATGTGGTTTCGAATGGCAGAACAAGAATAGCATAGCTCTTCAAGTACCTACTCTGAAAGAAAAGCATTTGAAAACAAGTTATAAATCATTTCAATTTAATCTTAAAGAAAAAACAATCTCAGATTACTTGCGTATCTCACACTAGAAATTACTCTATGAAGTGCATACTGGCATTAGGGAGCTGGTGTTGGGCCAGAGGCTTGACACACTTCTGAGGGTCAAGGGGACATAATTCTTAAGGTCAGCCACACACAGCCCAGCCCAACGGCTTGACTCAGCTGGGACTTAAAAGGCTGGAGTGTTCTCGTGCTTCAGGGGGATCAGGCTTCCTCAGAGAAGTTCTTCCCACAGCCAATCTTGATTGATTTGTGGTTTTGCACAGTAGGTCTGGACAGACTATGCTACCAAGCTATCAGAATATGCAGTCAATGCTATCACATTTCTCACTGGGAAGTCCTAATGTCACCCCATCATTGGTACATGAACATTTCTGGCAGCAACATTCATCACTCCATCGTTAAAAGTGCCCCTGCATTAACTAAAAATAAAACTACAAAAATGTTTTTAATGCCTTTTGTAATGAAAAACATCAGATTACAAAGTCATATTCCAACCCCAGTGTACCTACAGTAGTTAGGTATTACATGGTATTACCTCATGTCTCAACATGAGGTTAAAAACCTAAGTTCCTAGATACTTCTGCCTTCCAGAGATGGGAAGAGGTAGAGCTTTTGTAACAACGACAGATTCTCTCTCCTTCCTGATTACCAACTAATAATTATAATACTAAAAATGGAGACCCAAGGAGCTTTGGATATACTTTAGCCTAAGCTCTGAATTACTTTTCTTTTTAACCCAAAACAGGAGCTGAAATTTCAACTTGTAGTGCTGCAGATTTTATTTTGGTATAGTGTTGTTGTAATTTCCACTGAGTGAAACTTCATCCCACACAGAGAAAAATAAATTCCTCTATCGTTAATATTTTCCCCTCCTAACGAACACGCTGTCCTCACACTGTCTACAAAACAAGGCAATGAGACAACTGCATACAACAGTGACCTCTGGAGGTCATGCCACAATCCTGGAAAAATAAATTAGAACGAACCAAAAGATCCGGACAACATACAACTTATTTCATACCCTCATAAATCTTAACAGCAGTATCCCAATTTTTTTTGAAGTTCAGCATTATATGGCTAGTAGTAGTATGGCTTGTGAGGGTATCTCATTTTTAAATAATTTTAAATAGCAGAGGAATAGATACCGGCTTTTAAAATGTGTTAGCATAATGTGTGCAAAACCTTTATAGAAAAAAAATGAAAAGTTAAAGAGCCTGTATGCTCTTGTTGTCAAATTAAATTTAACACAAAATAATAATGTATCAATAAAAGTAATTCCTTTCTAATATGTTAAAAGCATTTTAGTGCCTTGTGTGGACTGAGGTTTTCTGGAGTATGAAGCCATGCCCAAGAAAGTCTGAGTGCTGCTGGGCTTTGAAATCAACACTTTTAAACACTGATCCAGAAAGTTGAAAGTACCACATTTACCTCAGAATCTAACTGTGGAAGGTTACTATTAACCAAATTTTCAGTCATGAAAATCAGCAGGAGTTGCTGGTCTTTCTTGAAAACTCATCCACTGATAAGCATTTCAAACTATTACCTAACTATTAAGGAAGAAAACAGAATTTTTCAGAATATGGGGTGGGGAAGGAAGAATGTCTATTCCCAGAGGCAAATAAGCTAGCTCACAAAGCTGCCTCAGGGGGTAGAACTTGCCAACTCAAAGCACAGCAAGCCAACCACGACATTCCTAACCAACCAAAAAGGCTGCTTTTGGTTGAGGAAAATGCATTCTTGTAACCATTTTTCTAACCATAGTGATTCATCCACAAGCATGTTATAAAATATTATAATAGCACATCTTAACCCATCGATTAACTATACAGAAGTACCATATAGCTTCAGGGACTTCAGCTTTTACATTTCTCAATAATTTAAACTCTCTTTCAACAGAAATAAAGCAGATTTGCTTAGACTACAACTTCCTTCCACAGCAGCCACAGTTAGGTAAGTATTTCAGGGTAAGTGCAAGGGGTGGCAAGGAGAGTGAGTCCTTGATGCCAGTATACCATAAAGGTGCGTATGAGGCGTATGAGGTTAGCCAGCCTCAGTAGCTCAGTCAGTATCGGGACAGTTCTCCAACATCTTATCAGGTACTCAGTTAGGTTCTAATCACATTTAAGTTGGCCACCCACAGCTGATGCCATTATAAAGACATTTGTGTACTCTGCTCTTCTAAAAGCCCCAGTGACAGAAATGGAACAACCTCACTGGTAATTAATAGTTTAATGAACATATGCTTTATATAAAATAGTCCTTGTTTGCTTTCCTTACCTTAGGAAGTGTCTCTTAAATTTTTGGTAATACTGCACACACACACAAAAAAAACCCACATCAATTTTACATAAACCAGCCAGTCCTCTCACCTTTAAAGCTACTCATTTTAGCTCCAAAAGCCTACGGTGAGATAAGCTTCTGTAAAGTTGTCAAGATCTCCTATATTCAGGCTCAAAGGACATTATGAAAACAGAACGCACACACACAGCTTGCGTGTACTACCTAAAATCATACTTCCTCCTCAAATAGCACAGACTTCACACATTTGGAGAGAATTTCATTCTGCTCTCCACAACCACCATTCACACTCTTGGTAGAGAATCACGAATACAGGCTAAAATGGAAACTTGAATAGTTCCTCCCTTTTCCTTTACAATTTCTGAAGAACATGCATTTTGTTTAACAAAGTTATTCACTGAGGATTGTGCTTCCCAATCTATTTGCAACCATCTAACTCAACGTATTTGCAAGCATCTGTCACATTCTTCCTTAGTTTTCACTCACTTCAACTGCAAACATCATTAGCTTGTTGACTGCTCTGTTTGCAGTTCATTGATAAACATACAAAGCAGATCCTTACCTGATCCCTAGAGCAACGTACAAATAATAATACATGGGTCAAACTTAAATCCTAGCTTGGGACAAATTCATTTTCACAGAATAAATTAAAATTACGATAAGCAGCTTGCTGTTCACACTGCAAACAGTCAAAGAAAGGTTCCACATTCCTATTCTGCTGAAGACCCAATTTTCTGCTTAGTTCAGCATTTCACCTGGATTTAATGCCTTATTTTCTCAGTAGTTATCTGAATACTAACTGAAAAAAGAACGAACTGAAAATCTGTCTTTAGCCATCATCCAAAAGAGCAGTATGCACAACTGTGTCAGTTTCCAAACAAATGTTTCTCATCTGTTTGAAAGCTACACTGGAAACAGAATTAAGCCAAGAGATGAGTTTCTTGGGTTGACTGGAAAGTTTTGAAAGGAAGGGCGGGACTATAAATAGAGCTGCTCTAGTTCAGTTCTGCAGAGCTGTCATGAAAATTCACCAGTCCAGACACAACGTCTGAAAAGTCTACAAATCCATCCATTGTATGAGAATTTCGGAAGCTTGAAAAAAAAAAAAGTTATTTTGCTAGCCTGTCCAAGAAAGTAATAATCCTGGGCAGGAAAACAATTCCATTTCTGCAAAACCATTTTAGAATGAGGATGACAAAATTTAGGGAGTTTGGTATAAGGAGACCAATGATTTTCCCGTTATTCATTAATTCCAAGGATAACCTGTCCAAATACATCTTTTAGCGCCATCTTTCCAACACAGAACCCAGCCACCTTCAAGATGACATTGCAAAATCAGAATTTCAAACATTATCAAGAATAACATTCAATATACAGACCGTATGTTAACAGTTCCCCCCTTTTTCTGTTTATCTGTGGTTTCTTCGTGTCTTCTAAGTTGTGCAAGTAGTTCTGAGACTGTCTGTTTCTTGTTGAGTGGTAGGGAAGACGCAACTGCAGAAGCAGCTTCCATGAGTTCTGGATTTAAAGGCTTTTCTCTGTAAAAGACACAACAGATATGGAAATATAAAAAAATAAAAGCATTAATATATTTAAATTGTCATTTCTGTACTGTCATTTTATGTCATAATAATTCAGAAGTTACAGTTATGCATTATCTCAAACGTGGGGGTGGCATGGGGGACAGCCTGGCTTGCCCTACATTGCATGAATCATCAACCACCAAATGACATGAACAAGCTCTTGTTCTCAAACCCAGGAAAACGGCAGCCCTATGCCACTGCATAGGGATGTGAAGCTTGAAGACCACAAGCAGCATAGACCTGCAGGGTTATAAACACGATGTAACACATTGCAGAGAGGAGCCGCTTGCAAGACTTGACAATCATAAAGCCGTCTTTATTTTTTTTTCTTTTTCTTCAGTTTTATTGTATTTTATCTAAACAATATTCCCCCCTTCCCCCCATTAAAATAACTTTACACAGGCAGACACTGGCACTACCTTTCAAGAGTCTCAGTGCAGAAAAAGGCAGAAAGCATACAACATCTTTTGTCCAGATTCTCCCCTGTGATTTACTGCAATCTATGTCTATGCACTACATTCGCTTACAAGATTCTTTTCCATACTTGGAAATGGCATTTGACGCTTTATTTTATCCTAGGTAATGAAAAAAAAAAAGATTTTAAAAAAGGAGAAAGCAGGCTAAGAAAAGTTCATTATACTTTACCGGTGGAGGTCTTGTGTAGTTCTCTGAGGCATAGTATCTTCACTGTCTGAGCCTTCCAGCTTGTTTGTGGCTTGCTTTTTGATCTCACGTGTTTTTAACTGCTGGAGTTTCTTCCTGTAGCTGACTTCAACTTTCATATTACCGATAATGTCTAACAACTTCTGCTTTGGTGTTTCTGGTGTTCCCTCCCGACTCTTTGATGCCGCTTCAGTGGTGCTGTCTTTGGAAGAGGTAGATTGATCTTTCTTAGTAGAAAGCACACTGCTTGTGCTGAAGAGTTTCTGTATTTTGCTAGATTATACACAAATTTAAAAAAAAAAAATCAGAAATTATAAATAGGATCCACGGCTGAATTTTGTAAGCCTACAAAAAAAAAAACCCAAACATTAGTTACAACTGTCTAGGCCTAATTGAGTGCAAACTGATTATGTTAAGTACATGTCAAATGGGTACCTTTTGACTTTTGAGAAGGTCTAGGGCACTATTTAAAATTCTCCATTATTTATGGTTTCTTCATCTCAAAAATCACGTTAACAATTTTATTTCCTCCACAAATAAACTGTGCTTAATCTAGGAACTTAAAACTTTTGAAGTACCTCTGCATTCAGTAGCAGACTGAGAGTTTGAATCTACTGGTACCTGATACTTAAATGTATTAGTGTTACAGAAAACTCACTTTAACTCTTAAAAATGAGGCAACAAAGAGATCACTCCTAGCTGCCTGAAAAAAGACTGTACACACACCTTTAGCTTCATATTGTTTCACACTTGCGGCACTACTCTGGATCACATCCCCCCTGTCCTATGTCCTGCAGTATAGCAGATAAGCATTTGTGCAGCCTTATGGGGAAATGGATCCTGCTGCAAGGTAACCCAGTTACAAACAAAAAAGTTACTTTGGTTATTTTTGCATCTGGAACAGCTCCTCTAACTAGTTTATCATATCACTGCAAAGAACCTAAAACTGGCACAGTGAAGGTGAGGATGTGAAGCCAAGGACAGCGGGGACCTGCTCGGGATATTGCTGCAACACAAACACAACTGCATTCTCTGGAAAAACTATCATAAAATTCAAAGAACTGTTCTTTTTAACATTCTAAAATGAAATCTTTAAATCTCTAAATACAAAACAGCTTTTTTGTTTAAAAATCATCTTCAAGCTACTAAAAGAAAAAAACTTACAATTAATTATTCATTTTGATTCAAAATAAAACACTTAAATCTGATGGAATTTTGACATACCTTCCCCCCCTCACACACACCTCTGGCTAAAAAAAGAACAATCTGCTAGTATCAGCAGGCACCACATCATTACTTCAGTCACTCTGCACTTAATAAATTGTCAGCATTAAATTGTCAACATTAAACCCTAAATTTCGATGTTGAGAAGCAACAGGAAAATTTAAGCAAAGCTTCAGAACCACATTATTGAGAAGATGGTAGGAGTCCTGCTGTTTTACACTGAGCTGTTCTCCACAGATCTTTTTCAAACACATGCTTTCCATTAACTCAGGCTGCATGCTCCCTAAAACTATTTATCCATTCAGAGCTCTTCGCTTACAGTGTCAGAAACACACAGCAAGACTACAAGCCTTAAACATTTTGAGCCAGTGGTACATTGCAGTTTGCATTACTGTATTTCACCTACCACCAGGTTTATTTTCTGCTCAGAAGCCTAGCTTTATAAAGCAAACACAGCTACAAAAGACGCCAAGCTGCTTTATACATGAGGCTACCACAGTACCAGAGCTTGTTCAAAAATATCGAGGAGCTTTGAAACAAACAAAAAAAAAAAACACACCACAACTGATTTTTCATTAAAAGCTGTTAAAATCTTCTACTAAAAATAAAAACAAACTCCCAAATACTACTTTTAACCAGTGCTTTGGGCATGTACCTCTGCTAACAGGCAGCACCTGGTAGACACGCTGTAAAATTACGCTCAGGTCACACATGCCGTCCACCCCTCTTCGCAGACGAGAGGACGGCAAGGAAAGCAACATGAGAAACACAACCGAACCGCTCCCTTCTACTTGACTTCACCTTCCTAAAGACTTCTGCCCACTGCACACAGCCCCAGCAGGACAGACAGACTCGGGCTTGGCCTGCGAACTGCCCGAGCAGGTTTAAGCCCCGAGGCACCCGGGAACAGGGCGGTGGCGGGCGGGCCGCAGGCACCTCACCGAGAGCACGGGGTAGGCCCCGCACCCCACCCACCCGGCCCAGGAGCAGCTTTCCCCGGAGAGTCAAGCAAACCCCGTCCCCTCAGAGGGCCGCG